CAAGTTTTTTCATATGGCCATCTGCTGGCATCAAATAATCTGATAGAACTATTAAATATGTGCAGGTTACGAGATTGGTAAAACTTGGAACAGGTAAAATAACACTTTCTGTTGGTGATGGTGCAAATGACGTTGGCATGCTTCAAGAAGCTGATATTGGAGTTGGCATTAGTGGTGTTGAAGGGATGCAGGTGACTGTATTTTTAATCTGATTTGTACCCCTTTGCAAGATTTCCAATAATAATCAACATAGCATGCCTTCAATCCGAACTCCTCTGGGGCTGCACAAATGTGGCATTTCACATACATATTTTTTCTATTCTTCAACATCTTCAGTGCATGCTTGTTCTAGTATTCTATTTTCTTTTAATATATTCACATGTTTATATTGCTTGTAAAAGATTTATATGCCCGGATTTCTGTCAAAGTAGTAAAAGCTAGTGTTCATATTGTATGTCTGTTTCCCAGTGGTTAGTAATATATATTTGATCTGCTGCTGGTGGAGAAATTAATTTTTCGGCATCTTATGAAAGCCGTGAGAATAGAGAATATATATGTCTATCACACTATTTACCAATAGTTGTTTATTGTGATTTTTGGTCTGACAGCTCTCAGACGTGTAAATTAAAAAATTTATATTTTACACCCAGCTTCTGATTCCTTTTGATTCCTAAACGCAGGCGGTAATGGCCAGTGATTTTTCCATAGCTCAATTCCGTTTTTTGGAGCGGCTCTTGCTTGTACATGGGCACTGGTGCTACAGGCGCATATCAATGATGGTAAAACATGTTTCTTATAATTGTCACCAAAAAGAAAAATTAAAAAGAAATAAATAAAAATGCTCTTCCCTCAGTAAGTTGAGGAACCAAAGCCACCCCTTCAAAGTAGACAATCGTTGTTTCTTTTTAATCTTTTGGCTTTCAGTTTCCTTCTTATTAGCATGATTATTGCCAATAAAATTGCGTTGTAATTTGTAATATGTTTTGCATAGTCTGGAGGCTTAGGCAACAAAGAATCAACGAATTTATGCATGCCCTGTTGATAGGTGCCATTCTATTCTTTTTGGCTAATGCAGATATGCTACTTCTTCTACAAGAACATTACATTTGGGTTTACTCTGTTTTGGTTTGAGGCCCATGCTTCTTTCTCTGGTCAACCTGCTTACAATGATTGGTACATGTCATTCTACAATGTCTTCTTCACATCACTTCCTGTGATTGCTCTTGGTGTTTTTGATCAGGATGTTTCTGCACGACTATGCCTTAAGGTATACAATTTTTCTCTTTTGAAGAGCTTAATATACTAATAAGGAAAAATGAATGGGTATTCAGGGGGTAATAGATACTGAACAAGCTATAGCTCTAAGGTGACAGTTGACTGCAAAATCATGATATATTCTCTATGTTACTGCTATATAGCTTGGCGTTTGGTAATTAGAGTATTCCATTTTAAGAGTTCTGTTAGCAATTATCAGCTCTAGTAGCATGTGCTTCATATCTGTTAGCAATTATAGTCCTTGAAGCTTTCTGGAGCTACGAGAGTTATTTATTGTTCATTCTTGTTCTGTTGACAGTATCCCTCCTTGTATCTGGAGGGAGTGGAGAACCTCCTCTTCAGCTGGACCCGTATACTTGGTTGGATGATTAATGGCGTTTTGAGCTCCATAATTATCTTCTTCTTTACCACCAATTCCATGGTTGGCCAGGCTCTCCGTAGAGATGGTAAAGTAGTTGACTATGAAGTCCTAGGGGTCACAATGTACACTTGCGTAGTGTGGGTTGTAAACTGCCAAATGGCACTCTCCATCAACTACTTCACTTGGATCCAGCACTTCTTCATCTGGGGAAGTATCGCCTTCTGGTATATATTCTTGGTGATATACGGTTCCGTCTCACCGAATGTTTCCACAACAGCGCACAAAGTTCTCGTGGAAGCCTGTGCTCCCAGTCCTCTGTATTGGCTGGTGACCCTCCTCGTCGTCATTTGCACTTTGCTACCGTATTTCTCATACCGGGCTTTCCAGACACGGTTTAAACCAATGCGTCATGATGTAATACAACAGAAACGATTAGAAGGTTCAAACCATGATGAGACTTCTGGCGAGTTGCCTCTGAGAGTGAGTAGCAAACTAGAGCACCTGAAGCGGAGATTGAGGGCTAGAGAATTGTGAACAGCCAAACCGTAGTAGTAGGGTAATGAACTTATGTGATCAGATGAGGGAATAGTTGGTTGTTTGTTTGTGTATATGTTTGACAGTTTGAGAGAGGCATTTGAAGTGTAAGTTGGGGGCAATGGCCAAATGAATATTGTAATGGACAGGACATGTACTTTGTATACCACTCACCTCCCTTGTAGGTTTAGCCATGTAAAGCTGATGATATATCAAATTATAAGAAAACAAAAAGAAGATCCAGTTTGATATCCCCATGCCATGTCCCAATTTTTAATCTTGCGAGTTGCACCCATTAAAGTGAAGTTAAACCAGCAATTGCTTGCTGCAGCCTATGTTTTTTGCACACTAAACTAACAATTAAACCATGATTAAAATGATGCAGAGATTAAAAATTAAAAAGATTGATAGAGGGTGATTACTGCAAATCCAATCCCACTAATTTTGCAGATCAACATTACAATCAATATATAAGATATCAAATGGAGCTGGAAGGTCCACCAAGAACATAAAACTAATTGCATTAACCAGAGGAAAGTTAACCCACGTGGTGGATTATTAGTTTATAATTAACAACACTAATACCTCCACAAAGCAAAGCCATTAAGAGACCCTTAGCATGCATTTAGCGTGCAGTACGGATGCGTTTTATTTGAAAGGCTCAAGGCTGGCCAGTGGCCTGGCTTCAATTGTTTATTGTGTGAAACACAAATTGCTAGTCTGGCTGGCATGAGGAGAAGGTCAATTTGCTGCTACTGCTTCCGCTTTTCAAGTAAGCACTTTCTGATCAGCACAATCTTTTTTCCAAGATACTTTTGGCAAATGGTTTGTTGTGCTTGTAGCCGGAAGATATAATCACTTTCGTGTTTTTCACGTTATTCAACGGATTTCATAATAATCTATAGAGTGCTTCATTTTCCTTAATTAAAAAGACTGAGAAGGCCTTGACATTCAAGACCAATGGATGGCTTCTGCCTGAGTTCAAGAGTTTTTTAATGTTTGAATATAATTAAGTTGGACTTTGGAACTTTCGTTCTTCTTATTTAGGGTTTAGGTATATTGTCACTTTTGAAATTACTAATGAAACGAGAAATTGAGTAATACTACTACATGTATGATGTATCGCATTTGCTGATCATATCTCTCGTATATGAAATACATGTTGTCGCACTTAAACAGTAATTAAACAAGACTTGCAAATTAATAATGCGGGTTATATCTAGCCACGTGGCTTTTCTACTAATAATGTGGGTTATATGAAGTGTGTGCATACGTATGTATAATGTATGCTTAGACATGAGAATCAGTAAACTCTATACACATAAGGTCAGCAATTAGGCGACACATTGAATTGAAATTGATATTAACATAACCTCAAAAGTCCACACTAGTAGTCGGCTTTTTTTTCATATAAATAATAAACGTAACTTTGGCATGGCTTCATGTGGCTTCTTGTGTTTCAAAGAGTTTTTTTTTTTCCCATCAATTTAGGCCAAATTGCATATATAATAATAATAATAATTGCATATTGAAAATTGATATTGCTTCCAAAACAAGGTTATCTAACTTATCCTATTCTGTTACTATCCCCATTATTAATTTCCATGTCACTTTTATCAACGGCTCTGCTGGTTTTCCGGTGCACGATTTTCCTTCTAGAAGTCTACGGCCCCACGGGGTTGGCATGGGGTTAGTTCTAGAACCACCACGTTTCAGTGATCTGTTTGAATACTGCTTCTTTCATTCTTTTTGTCTATCAAACCAAAGAAACTAGGGCAAGTTTATCTTATTTTATTAATTTGTAATTAGATTAGAAAGAATTGAATTGAATTATGTTATTTTATTTTATTTTATTTTTCTTTATTAAATATTGAACCCGTCAAGTCTTTTTAGCTTGTTACCACTTAATTGTTACTAGTGTATTAGTACTTCTCTTCTCAATATTAAAAGGATTTTAAGTTTGAATCCTCTATCACACGCTAGTAAAAAATTATATTTATAACTCGCGCAATATATAATATCATAATTAGACAAGTTGAAAAACAAACTCGAAAATTATATTGCAACAAACACAAGATAAGAGTGTAAGTTTTAACATAAAGAGACGTTTCAAAATTAAAGAAAATTGAGAAAGGGACTTTTAGTGACCATTTTACAATGTTAACAACCTAATAACTTTTTTTTTTGTTGATAAATAGTGATAGAAGTTTATTAGATCATCAAACGGTCACAAAGAGTATAAAGGAAAAAATAACTGAAAATGGAATCATCACAATAGCAATATAGGACATAGGCAAAACTTTCCCGAGTGATATGAGCTAACTAAAAACCTAAAACGATCTAGAAAGAATCACTCCCAAAAAAACAATTTTTCTAAAATTGATAAAATTGAGAAAAAGAAAAATCAGATTCATTATATTAACTTGCCTATTTTGCTTTGTTTGTTTCCCAATCCAAATAAGCATCCAACACTAACAAGAAATTGTTGATTTATTTCCCTTTGTCTTTTTGTGTGGCAAGATATTGCCCTTTTTGGTGCATCTTGCCTTTGTATCCAGACACGCGGACACGTTCGTGGGGTAACGACGTCAAGCGTGTGAAATTAATGAGCGATAAGAAGGAATAAGGAAAGTTTACCAACACGCTCACACACGTAACACCTTAGAAACAAGAAAGAAACAAACTTATGAGAAGCCCAAAGACTCCACCGTTAATAATGTCACAACTTCATTTAATCCCTAATTACTTATTGATTTAATTATCACCTTACTCCGCTCCTGCCCCACGTTATATATCTAATCTCTCTCTCTCTCTCTCTCTCTCTCTCTCTCTCTCTATATAAGCATAGAGGGAAAACCAACTTACTCACAACCCTTCTATTTCTCCCCCACAGCCAAAAACAAAAAACAAAAACAAAAACAAGAACAAAAAATATGCAAGACGACGATTTCGAACAGGGACTGGTCTGTCCCAGCTTCAACAGCTACGCCTCCAGCAAACTTGCAGACGTCGCAGCCAAAGTCTGCCGAGAGTTCGACCACCTCAATTTGCTCGACAAATCCAATAACTCCGCTGAACAGCAAGAACACGATGATCATAGAAACGACGACGTCGACGACGACTTCGAGTTCGTCTCCTTTCAAAGTACCGGAAGCCAGGTATTCTTTGACGACAACCAGATCGGTCCCGTTTTCCCCGTATTCAACCGCGACCTTCTGCTTGACAAAAGGCAACGAGATCTCGCGGCCGCCCCTAATAATAAGGCGGTTGCAGAGGAGGAGGATGACGACGATGATGCTGCTCTGCCGTCATCGTCGTCCTCCGACGTGGACGAACTGGATGCTGTCCCACAGGGGACGTACTGCGTTTGGAAGCCGAAATCCGCGGTGGCACAAGACGCTCGCGGGAAGTGCAAGATTAAGAGCAAGTCGACCGGAACGTCGTCGTCTAGGCGGTGGAGCATAAGGGATTTGCTGCGGCGGAGCAACAGCGAAAGCGGTAGCAAGGACTCGTTTGTGTTCTTGACCCCTTTGTCGTCGAGCTCCAAAAAGGCAGCAGACGAAGAAACCAAGGAAATTAAGAAGAGCTCCGGGTCCGGGTCAGGGCCTGGGCCGAACAAGCCCAAAGGGTCGAAGGCGGTGTCGATGGCTCACGAGGCGTTCTACGTGAGGAACAATGATACAACGAATAAGGAAAAACAAAAGAGACGTATTGAAATGATAAAGCTCTGTGTGTAATTGATAAAGAAAAGAGCCTATAAATAGGCTTTACATCAGAACACTTCATCTAGCACTAAACCACAACTCCTATATAATAGGATGACACTAGGCACTTTCTCAGCCACGAAATCAAATAATTAAACACCTAAAGACTCAGTCAAACTACCAATGACTAGAACATAAATATTATAAAATAAAACATTTAAATCTTAACATCCTCCCTTAAACTGAAATCTGCAGAAATCAGTTTAAAATAGTTTTGTTTTTTTCTCCGAGCATATCTAAGTTATAGTTTTAGACGACTGATGCTTATTTTGCCTAATTTTGGACTTAATTTACTTCCCGTACATGTACAGGTTAGTGTATTTGAGTGAGTTTTAAGTTAATTGATAGTTCAGATCAATTTTATGGGTTGTATTTCATTTCGGCATGAATTTAGTCTTTTTGGCTTGGAATTCTTTTTGTTTGACAGACGATATTGTAAACTATATAATAGACTACGACAATAAGAATCAAACTTGAGTGCAAAGGATAGATTTGCATTAAGGTTATTGTAAATTTGTTAGCAAATCTTCTCTTGTTCTCAAAGCTCATGTATATCTATAATATTTTTGTTACTGTCCACATATATGATACTTTTTGAGTTATGATATTGGTAGAATTATGAACCCCTAACCCTAAATATAGCCATTCATGTATAAGATTCCGGCACATCAACGATTAATAATTATTCGTGCATGTAACTTTTCGAGTCCCAATTCAAACTCAAACTCCGATTCAAACTAGCCACACCTTGATTAGGTGTAGCTATTAACTCGACCTACCGGCCACACTTTGACTGGGTGTTGCCATCAACCGGACGAACTTAGACTCAAACTATAGCCTATGAATCTTCCGTTACACACAAACCCAAATAATTAACTTTGATGTGGACTTAGCTCCACGTGTAGCCCACTATGTGGTGGCCCCATGTGAGGGGGCGTGTTGAAGAATATAAAGTCCCATATCGAAAACTTGACTGAATAAACTACAACTTATAATAAGTGGTTCCACTCCTAATAACACCAAGGCCTTTTGAGATAAAACTCCACACCTACTAAGCTTTGTGGGCGGCTAAGTTGGAGACAATATATCTGAAATTTAACATTAAGATTGCTTTTAAAAATAAAAAATAAAAGTTATACGGTGAAATTGGCTTTTGAAGTATATATTTGGGTGTAATGTAAATGTAAACAGTTAAAAGTTGATATATTTGTAAAAAGTCAATGAGAAAAAGTGAACAAAAATCTTACGCAATGCCTTGCTCTTGAGGCAGTAACTACTCAATACATATGTTGTCTCATATATAAGGCTTGATTTTCAATGTTTATGAATTGCCGCAAATTTGGATGGTAGCTAGCTAGCTTTAGGTTGCGCAATAAATTATGGCTCGATTATGACGCAAATGCGCACGGTGTTAAAAAAACGACATTTGGAGGGGACAATTACAAAAGCGAAAGAAAATAAGAAAAAGGTCATTACAAAAGGCAGAGAGGTATTTGCGCGTAATTACGTCGTTTGTGCTCACATCCACACCAGCACTAACGAATAATAAATTATATCAGTATTAGGGTTTCAATCTTAATCCGAGAGACAGTGAAATGAGAATGCGATGAGTGATTCGTGAAATGAGGTTCGAGTTTTGTTGTGCTCTGCTTAAAATTGGAGGGACCACAAACTACAATTAAATTGATGGTGAGTCCGGTGCTGGCTGTCATCGGGTCCCAGACTTTTTTCTCTGTTGTTGGCCTGCCGTCTCTCTTTTATCCGAGTTTGAATCATTCTCTTTATAAATTAGATTAATTTATAGTAATTTAGATTTATCGTGTGCATTCAAAATATAGTATATGGTCGTCGGTCCAAAAATAAAACTTGTCCCTGTTGAAAAATCAGAATATTTTTCTAGCTTGAATTCTATTCTTTGAACATTTGTCCAACTGAACTGGTTACGCCGCTGCTCTGCTGCTGTTATTTTCCAATTCCGCCACTTTTGCACTAATGTTGGAAAATCCGAGAAAGTAAAAGCCGGGATCTTCACTTCAGACCTTCAATCCTGAAACTTTTGTGGACAAAATGGGAACACTACGCAAGCAAGTTGACCTAATTTTCTGAGTGCAAATCTGCCAGCTGCTAAGCTCTGAGAGCCCCATTTTGCTCCATTCACACAAATAATTGCTCAAAATAATCAAAGATTAAATGATAATTAGTGTTTGGGTAGCTGATTGGCTCCAGAATAAAGTGGGTGTCTCCATCCTTTGAATTTTCAGACCAGTTTACTGGTTGGCAGTCCTCTCAAATTTCAATCGGGGGTTTTTGCATTAATTGGCCACCATAGAATACCAGGATACCAAAGGTGGCGTCCCTCTATGTTTATTAACAACATTAATGGAAAATTGATGGTTTAACAAATTAATAAGTATAGCCAAATTTGCCATTAGAGTTTAGCCCGATAAAAAATAATGACCTTGACTTGTAGATTACTAGACTAGTGGTCTCGAGTTCAAACTCCATTCATTTAGTTCCTCTATGTTTGATTAATACGCTTTGTACAAATCTCATTTGGTTGTTGGGTCATCGGTCTCATCTCAAGCTGAGCTAGCCATGTCCCGATTGACAGTTTCAAAATATGCTTTGAATGTGAATTCTCAGAAAAATACTTTCACCTACCTCACCTTGATCTTGTTGACATAAAATAAAAGAAGAAAAAACAATGTGAAAATGTGAAAAAAATTAGGAGTGTGTATCAAGTTAACTTCATTTGTGGAACATGCCTGGAAAAGCACATTATATTATTAACTAACGCCTAAAATATTATTAATTTTGTGATCCGAGAGGTCAGGATCGTGCTTCGCAATACAACGGCTTGGAAATTGTGCACCATTATATATAACATGTACTATAGGGCTTCGAAAAGCCTTTCTTCTTGTTGATCAATTCCATTCTAACTTATATTATATAATTGGTCTTCTCTATAAAGAAATGTTTTTATGGGTTGAGTGTAAAAAACCTTTTTATGACATCCCAAGTGACATTTCAAGGGACTCAATTTGCTATTAATGTGATTAAGTTATCTCGGAAGATTGCTCGTATAAGAAAATTTATAAAAATCAACAAAAAATATGTATCGTATCGTAGGAGATAGATAAATCGTATCAAAAGACGATGAATATCACTCTTCTTATAATCTCTTATATCATGATAAATTAGACATTCTCGTACTTTTCAGTCTCATCACTTTGTCAAAATGATGATGTAGGGATGAATTACCAAAACATTGATTCATCCAAAATGCTCATAAGGAAAAGGGTCATTTGCTGTCACAATTGGGCAATTGTTCCATGCCACATTTTTAGATGTTTTGCTGTCCACTCACTAATCTAGTCACTCAAGTCTGCAACTTTACCAAAATGCCAAAGCTAATTGGTTGGATACATTGAAAGGTCAAGGTTCTTCTAAAATAGTCTGATAAGTTCATCAACGGTCAGAAATGCATCGTAAAATATCTGGCGGGAAAACATATTCCCATGCTTCTCGTGACTATTCGTGATTGATCTACGCTCGTTCATCATCAATTCAAAATTACGATACTTTCCTTACACAAATCAACGTCATCTTTTGTATGGGCCATGAGTGGTGCAAACTTTTTTATACTCATCCGACGTGGCACTGCAGATATCCGGAAACGCCAAACAAACAAAAAGCGCTGGAAAGCTCGTAGAATTCAGCTGAAGCTTCCAGCACATGATCTGAAGCTCCATTTCACACTTTGCAACAGAAAAAAACTGTCTGGAATTCCTCAAGAACATGGTCACTCTGCAACTGCCGAGTAGCAGAGCTCTCGATCCTTCATCTCCGCCGTTGCTCCACGGCTGCTCCTCCTCCTTTTGGGGCGGACGCGTGTCTTTCATAAATGGCCGTTCAACGATGAGTCGTCCAGAGAAGCTTCGCTCCAATGGCGGAACCGTTAGGATTCTCGCGATGTCCAACAGTTCGTCATCATTCAAGATGAACTTGAATGAGTACATGGTCACTCTCGACAAACCGCTCGGAATTCGATTCGCGCTCTCCGTCGACGGCAAAATCTTTGTCCACTCCCTCAAGAAAGGGGTATTTCCGTCCGCTCTCTCTCTTCTTTCAACAAAAGTTCAGACCTTTTGGTCTGACTGATTCTGTTTCTCTGTTTTGATTGGTTTATTTGTTTTCTTGAATTCGATTTTTCAGGGCAATGCGGAGAAGTCGAGGATAGTAATGGTGGGTGACACACTGAAAAAGGCTGGTGATTCGTCTGGAGAGAGGCTTCTTGAGGCCAAGGACTTTGGTGATACACAGTATGCTATTAACATTTTGCATTTCATAATTTCATTGAATGAATTTTGGATTAAATGTCCCAATTAGCCTTTGAAAAAATTCAATTTTGTTTGTGATTTCGCTGCGAAAGATTGTCAGTTCATTTTTGTTTTTGTTTTTGTTTTTATTTTTTTCAGTCTTTGGTTTCTTCAGGAAGATGCTCACGGAGAAAGCAGGATCTTTTAGCCTGGTTCTTGAGAGACCACTCTCACCTTTTCCAATTCAGCAGCTGCTTCTTTTGAATGATCTTGATAATCTTTTCAATAGAGGTCGAGTTCCTTTTGCCACTTGGAACAAGACTGTGTTGGCTTCAAGTTTGCAATCAGCTACCGAAAACAGTGGGAAGTCTGGCTTTGTTACGTTCTCCTCAAAGTTTCTAAAGTCACAAGGATGGAATTTGTTGAATGGCCAAAATGGTCGTGTTCGATCACAAATGCAGACGAATACTCTTGCCCAACCCTTGAGCAAACTTGTTTGTATATTTTCTGAAGAGGAGTCGGAACATGGAGAATGGGCTCATGGAAATTTCCCACTTGAGGAATATATTAAGGCACTGGATCGCTCTAAAGGCGAGCTATACTATAACCACTCTATTGGCATGCGCTACAGTAAGGTGTGATATGCATCAAATTCTTTGACTATATACTTGTACTGAATAACTTTTTGTTCTTTCGATAGCATAGTTTGTATGAGTTGGAATTTTCGTTGACTTGCTCATTCATTATGTTTTTCATTTGTTAGATTACAGAGCAAATATATGTTGGATCATGTATACAAACAGAAGATGATGTGGAGACATTGTCCAATGTCGCGGTGAGTGCTGTTACACCATGTATTTTTATGCAAAAGAACTTTTTTTTGGTTGTTGTGTCATTGGAAATTTGTAGTCTACATACGCATTGTGATATTGTATCAACTTCCTTTCCATATCTCTCTTTAACTTCTATGGAAATTCTTCATACAGGGAGTCACTGCTATACTGAATTTCCAAAGTGGAACTGAGACAGAAAATTGGGGAATAAATTCCAACTCAATAAATGAGTCGTGCCAAAAATTCAACATTCTGATGATCAACTATCCAATAAGGTAAACAAATAAAAAATTCTGTACAATCTTCTATTTATTGATGATATAAATTTGCTAGATCTTCTTTTGAAGTCACTTCAAATCATGGAGGTTGTGCATGTGCTTGCTTCTTGTGGTTTCAACAATTGTTTAATCAAATATTAATCAGGAATAATGTTAGCACTTCTGATGAATTATTAAATTTCAGCATCTGACTAGTTTCTGGACATTTAGCTTAAATGCATTAGTAGTGTCATGTACTTTCAACCAAAGAAGGAATTAAAATTAATTTAGGATGATATTCCTCATAATGTAATGCAAATTTCAGAAACGGAAAGGACTTTCTGAATGTGTCAAAGGGTAATGCTTTAGTTGCTTATAACTCACTAGCTAGACCTCATAAAATGTTTGAACATTTTTATTTTTGGCAGGGAGGGAGATTCTTTTGATTTGAGGAAGAAACTACCATTTTGTGTGGGCTTATTATTACGCTTATTGAAAAAGAATCTTCGTGTTTTTGTGACTTGTACGACTGGTTTTAATCGGTCTCCTGCTTGCGTAATAGCATACCTGCACTGGATGACTGATACTTCCCTTCACGCAGCTTATAATTTTGTAACTGGGTTGCATTTATGCAGGCCTGACAGGTTATTCTCGTTAACCCTCCTCATTTTTTGAGTTCTATACAGAATGAAAAGAAAAAATTCCCTCGCTTGTGACTGACTAATCAAAAGAAAGAAGTCACTTATTGTGATTCCGGTATTCTTGAAATTTTTATGCAGACCGGCAATTGCTTGGGCAACATGGGATCTTATAGACATGGTGGAAAATGGCAAGCATGAAGGACCTCCAACACATGCTGTGACATTTGTATGGAATGGGCAAGAGGTAGTTGACAAGTTCAGTTTCAATTCAAGTATATAATGTATACTTTAGCAGTGGCGATGGTCATTGAATAAATCTGAAGGGACAATGAAAGAAATTTCTTTCGCAATGCCTTACATGGCCTAGGACTAGTTCTGTAAATAGTTTTTAAGCATGTAGTCTTTAAAGCATATTATACCTTCTATATTTGAGCAGTAATGGAACTACTTTGTGTCTGTTGGTGCTTCGTCTCTGTCTCTTTTTACAGGGGGAGGATGTAACCTTGGTTGGAGATTTCACTGCAAATTGGAAAGAACCAATTCGGGCAAATCACAAAGGTGGATCACGATGGGAAGCAGAAGTTAGACTTTCACAAGGAAAGTAAGTGAAAAAGCATTGTATTACTTATTTTGTTATTGTCAAAGGGATCAAAATACGAGACCTGATGCCCTTGGTTAACTCCAGTGCTTGAAAAACTTGTAAAGCTGATGCATTGTGATTTCTATTTTTCTTAATTAACTTTATCACTTAAACCTCAGAAACACATTTAATATGCATATGTGTAGAGTTAGAGTTTTATACGCATGAGTTTTTTGTTTAATTTTTTCAAGTTTTCTTAGACTAGCTAATCTGGAAGTATCACATGATGAGTTTATCTAAATTTCGTTTTAAATGGTATTATGCTCATGACCTGCAGGTATTACTACAAGTTCATTGTTAATGGGCAATGGCGGCATTCGACATCCTCCCCCTCTGAAAGGGATCAAAGTGGAAATGTCAACAATATAATCATCATCGGTGATACTGCCAGTGTGAGACCTTGTGTTCAACAACAGATAAAGGTCAGTCATTGCACTTGCGCATTTCTGTTTCGTCAATTGTTTTCATTTTGATATAAATTTAAACAAGTATTAGTACATTAAATCTCTGGACTTGTTTTCTCTTCCAAGAAGCAGAAATTGGACTTGTCCAGTGCGTATGCTTCCCAAAGGATAATGACACATGATGTGCTATTCGGGAAAGATTGATCTTTCTCCTTTTATATATCCTATGATGACTATGATCACTTCACTTGTGGGGGGTTGTATCTCCAATTCTGATGGCTGTTTTGACTTTTTTGATAGGATGTGAATGTTGTGAAGGTGATTGAGAGGCCACTGACAGAAAATGAGCGGTTCATGCTGGCAAAAGCTGCTCGTTGTGTTTCATTCTCTATATGCCCAATTAGACTAGCTCCGAAGTAGATGGCTGGTGATTTCCATCATACGGTCCTCGTCTTACATTTTTCTTTTTCTTTTCTGAGGCTGGTAGTTTAGAACATATCATGGAATTAGTTTCCAAAGTAAAAGACATTTTCATAATTGTAACTTGATTCGATTCTTGAGGTGGTTCTGTATGATGTTCATAAATTGAGTTGGTATTTGCACTTGCAACATCTAAAGAGTTGGTAAGTATATCTTATGTTTAAAATGCAAGCCAGGTTATTTTCTTACGATGGGCCCTTTTGGAGGGTTTTGCACCAGTAGTAGTAGAACTAAGAAGAACAGTATCAAAACAGAGACGAGATAGACAGAACAGAGAGATTGATTGTGCCACTCCACACCACAATCCGGACGATGGATGAAATTCAAGCCAAAATGAATAGTGGTCTCATTTCATGCCTGCCTTAATAAGATTGCATAGAATGAAGTGTACGTTTGTGCTGCGTGCATACACGTTTGTGAATGAGAATGTCATTTATACCATGTCTTTATGTCATTTTGCTCTTATTTATAAATGTATATATATTATAGATGTATATAAGTATTTGTGTGTGCTCATGTGTGTGTATATATATATATACTAGCCCGCCAATTGGTTTTTTTTAATTTAAATTTTTTTAAAAATTTTTAGAATTAAGAAAAGATAACATGGGTAGTTATGTTCCACTGAGAGGTGGGTAGTTTATCTGGGGCGGATGCCTCCTAAAGATAATATGGGTAGTTATGTTCCATAAAAGTAGGATCTATTATCTGATTTTGTTTTTAAATTTAATATTTTTAAATATGAAAAAAATGTGAAGTTACCATATTATAAGGGTAGTGTAGCTGAGCCCATATATCGGGATCGGGATTAAGGCTTTGTTGAGTTGTAGCCTTTCTTTGCTGGTTTCTACTTAGCTCACGGGTACTTTTTGTGCTGATGTGAACTGGAAAATCAATTTGTTAGTAAGTATTTGTAGTCCAACACAAATCATATAATTTGTAGTTCATGGGTAAATTGAATGGTTTTAACTCAGCAACTCAAACTTTGGAGAATCGATATACACTTGAAATTGAAACCGGGCTCCTGCCTTTGATATTTCAAATAGTATGGCCGCGCGGCTATAATCTTTGAATATAATTGAATATTTTAATATTATAGCCGCGCGGCTATACTTGTTCAATGTATTCGAATATTTTAATAGTATAGCCGAGCGGCTATATGCTTTGAATATATTCGAATATTTAAATCATATAGCCGCGCTGCTATACTCTTAAAATATATTTGAATATCTTAATAGTATAGCCGGGCGGTTATACTTGTTGAATATATTCGAATATTTGATAGTATAGCCGGGCGGCTATACTCTGAATATATTCGAATATTTGAATAGTATAGCCGCGCGGCGATACTCTTGAAATATATTTGAATGTTTTAATAGTATAGCCACGGCTATACCCTTTAAATATATTTGAATATTTAAAAATATATATTTAAATCCAAATTTTCATGATTTAGCACATTACTTTTAACTTAAACCCGTTGAAATGACTACTGTATATTTGCTCTGATTGCTAATGAATTCATGGACACAGCAAAAGCGTTACCCGGTTATTTCTGTCAAAGTCAAAGATCAGAATTTGGAGTTTGACCAGGTTTCCTTTTGTTTCCTTTTGTCTGAGCTCTAATGCAATAAAAACAAGGGAGCTTTAGTAGTATACCCAAAATAGGGGTTGAAATTATAAAAAAACCCCATATGGAATGCACTTTAGAAACATACCCAAAAACCATTTACTACATAAGAAATGAGTGTTGAAGTTCCTATAAATTACATGACTGCCATTGATTAACTTAAAACAAGCTCAACACAAAAAACTCAAAAAACACCCAAAACAAGCCCAACAAGCCTGAAGTACATTGTTAATACCATATCATAGAAGTACATTGTTAATACCATGTCATAGAAATAGATTGTTAATACCATTTCATACAAAAATTCAAAAAAAAAAAAAAACCAAAAAAGCCCAGCAAGCCCGAAGTACATTGTTAATACCATATCATAGAAATACATTGTTAATACCATGTCATAAAAGTACATTGTTAATACCATTTCATACAAAAATTCAAAAAAAAAACAACTCAAAAAAGCCTAGCAAGACATCCGATATCCTTTGCAGAAACCACCTCCAATTGTCCACAGTTTCACCAGAAACAATCGCAAAGGCAAAAGGAAATACCTCTACAAGAAAAAAGAAAAAGTACATTGTTAATACTATGTCATAGAACTATCTTCTTAGTAAAAATCACATTCTGCATATCATAAACTTCGAGTACACAGCTATATATAGAGCATGCTTTGTTATTGAAAATCTGGTAATATTATGTCATAGAAGTACACTGTTAATACTATGTCATAGAAATCAACTCAGTTGCAGGGTATGAAAAAGTATAACAATTGTTCATACCATTTACTGGAAGCTAACAACTACATTTCATTTGCATAATAGGTACGATAAAAATGTACAACTGCAAAAACCCCATGTTCTTAAACCAGCAACCTTAAAAAACATAGTGGGCAACACAACCCTTTGGAACAAACCTAGGAACCCATAGCAAAAACCTCATGTTCGTAAACCAGCAACCTTGAAATACAACTGAAATGGAAAGAACAAGTGCTGCAAGAAGACTGGTTTGGCAACAAGTTGCTGCCAAAACTACCATGAAACCTTCCAGTGGAAAGACAACATAATGAGAGTAAGTTTTTAATATTGTACTGTTATGTTCTATCCAGTTTGTTTCCTTTTATATTGACACTGCAATTTCTTGTTTCTGTTCTAAAGAAAAAAAAAATATACAAAATATATATGACAAAGAAGGGCTACAATGAGATGAAACAAATCCTATGGCCTATACAAACAAGTGGTCTAACATGCTTCCAATAGCCATAGCATAATTAGAGAAGAAATTGCAATTGTTACCCAGCTCAGGTACGCCAATGCAACTGCCATATGGTATTTTTGGCATTCCTCTCCAAAATTGCAGTGGCTCAAGTTACTAAAGTACAACACAGTTATGCCAGCTGAGGCAGAAGCTGCTGCAAAAGACATTGTTGCTGTAACCTGTTAGAAAAGGAATCAGGTAGCTAATTGCTTCAATGACCTACAAACCCATTGAAGCAATTTAGGTAGCTGCAAAATGAGCATTGCCTTAAACAAATATTACAATTTTTTTTCAAGACAAGAAATGGCATGTGATGCATCAACGATATGCTGAAATCTGCCTCATAAGCCTACATAATCAGGTTACATAAAACTAAACTTAGATGGCAATTTGCTCACAAACATTAGATAGCATACACATATAGAGCCAAACAAGCCAACAACAGTGAGAAAAACATGCATAATGAATTCTAAATCACTAATTCCAATTATTATATCATTCTAAAATCGAAAAGCCAATACATCAATGACTCATATTGACTAATTAAGTATTTTACACCAAGAACTCATCCCAAAATTCTAACAACCACCAACTCTGCCACCGCTGGTGTGCAAAAGAATGAAGAATCAAATTGAATCACCATATCACCATCGCCAAAACCTCAATTCAATCATACACTAAGCAAACACAGAAATTAACAACAACAAAAAATACAAGAAATTAAAATTTTCACAATAACCTGTAAGAGCTTTTGCGTATGAGAGACTATGAGTAGTTCTTCAGAGAATCTCTCTCCTGGCGTCGTATCCGTACTGAGATCGACGAATGTTATCCAACGATCATTCCAAGTACGATCTCTGCCTTCCTTGCCATGCTCATTTCTCTAGAGGAGTTCTTAGCTACGTCTCCGTTCGAGGTTGCTGTGGTTGACCTCGCTCGGATTCGACGGCGCTGGAGAAGGAATTGGAGGCTTGTCGTCGGCCAACGAAGATTGAGACGGAGATGATGGCGGTGGCGCCGAAGGTGAAGAAGGATGTGGTGTGTTAATTGGAGCATCCGACAGAGATGGAGGAAGGAAAATCAGAGATGGAGTTTTGGGCGAAGGTGAATCGGCGGCGGGTTGCGGCGATGGCGTCGACGAGAGCTATGGTGGAGAGGACGAAGTTGGACTAGGAGAAAAGCCAGAAGCAGAGCTCAATGAACCTCGCCATTGTTGAAGAAGAAGAAAAAAGTTCGAGATGCTGGTTGATGAAGATTGAGTTGATTAATAGACAAAGCAAAAGGGCAAAATAGTAATCAAACATAGCTGTTGAATTTAAGAAATCGATAGCTGTAAAATTTTGGGTTTATTTTGGGTGTGTTTATATATAATGAATGGTATAGGGTATATTTATAGTTTTATGTCTAGGAATGGGTATTTCACTAAATTTCTATAAAAACAAAGCATTATGCATTTCTAAGTGAAGTTGCACTTAGAAATGCTATAGAAAAGAAACACTTGTCTGCGGCTGACAGATTTGGTAATCATATTTTTATGCACACTTGCTTGTCACTTTGATAGTGAAAATGATAGTATTTAGTTTTCATCATATTTTTTTCCCCTTGACAGGAATTTTGGCTTGCCAGCAGTCTTTTGCTTCATTGCTTCTTGTTGGGCAACTCAACTTTGGAGAGGTAGACTTCCTGCCTGTAATGGGTGGTAGCAAGGAGAATCGATACACACCTGGAGTAGATCATTGGAGTCTCGCTGTTAAAGATGGGAAGCGCTTTGCTTTCACTGCTGAATGCACTTGAAATTGAAAATTGGGCTCCTCCCCTTGATATCGGCTATACTGTCTAAATATATTCGAATATTTTAATAGTATAGCCGAGCGGCTATACGCTTAAAATATTCGTCTAGTGATTTCATCATATGGTGGTCGTCCTACATTTTTATTTTTATTTTCTGAGGCTGGCAGTTTAGAACAAATCATGGAATTAGTTTCCAGAGTAAAAGACATTTTCATAATTGTAACTTGATTCGATTCTTGAGGTGGTTGTGTAAAATATTCATAAATTGAGTTGGTAATGGTATTTGCACTTGCACAACAATTAAAGAGTTGGTAAGTATATCTTAATATGTTTAAAATGCGAGGCAGGTTATTATCTTAGGATGAATACTGGTTTCATTTCATGCTGACACATAAGATAAGAGGGCATCTACATATGTCGCACTCGCATGTATATGATACCAAAAATGTCGACATAATGTTTGTTAGAAAAGAAAAATGTCGACATATAGAATGATAGAAATTCATATAATGTTTGTTACTGAACACATCCCCCTCCCTCCCTTGTTCTCTCTCTCTCTCCCTCTCCCTCTCTCTCTCTCCCTCTCCCTTTTTGGTGTTGTTACAATTGCGCCCAAACCTACATTGTCCCTATTTTCACCTCTTCTTTTTTCTATTCTTTTGGTTTGAACCTTTTGATTCTTGATACAAAGCCGCGGTTGCCAATCAGCTAGTGATGATGCGTTCTGTCCGGCCACTTTACGCTGCTGAGATGCACAAGAGCAGGGAAGCGTTTTGCTTTCACTACTTTCAATCCCAACTTCCTAAATTGATTCGGTTTGATTCCTAGTAATTTCTCGGCACGACAATGTCACTTCAAAATTTATCGTCTAACTCTATGAGGCCTGTCGACCCAGCAACCACTGGGATTTGATGGGACTCTTCGTGCTGAGAGAGGAAGACCCAGAAGATCATTTGTTTTGCACGACTTGTGATTTACATGGTATGCATCGTGAAGCAGCAAAATGGAAGAAAATAAATGGGTACAGTGCAGGCATGAACTCATTTACATGCCTTGTTTTTACATCCTGCATGAAATTCTTCTTGCAATTTCCACTTTTATTTAACTATGTAATTTTGGGATGGGTAGCCATATTGCAAATTCTATTGTGGGCTTTAATTGGGCAGCCCAAAACAAATTGCAAGCCCACAAAGGTGAGAGAGTGAAAGCAAAAATTAAAATAAATAAAAAACTTGACCTAGCAATATTGTTCATGATTCCCTACAAATCCTAAGTATAGGGACATGCCGACAAAATCCGTAGAATATAAGACATATATATTCCCGGGAGCCAGAAAACAGACAGAAAAGCCAGAAATTAGTCATATAAACCAGAATCCATTTTCGACCCAAAAAAGAAAAAAGACAAATCCACAGGAACCATAAGTTTGAAGTTTTGAGGATAGGACCTTATCTTTTTAATCTATCACCCATCATGTCTGTCGCATGTCAGCCATTAATTCCATTTCACCCTACGATAGACAAACCCTAGAACCAGAACCATGTCTTCTTCTTGTTTTTTTCTTTTTCTTTTTTATTTATTTAAAAATAACTCACATTTAGCTTGTGGTGGTAATATATTCATAGATTAGGATGTAATTAATTAGTCAACTTTATCAACATTGAATATATGGAGAGTGTAGATATGTCGCTATTATGGCTTTGGAAATTCAAGACAGAAGGTTCATATATGCAATATCTTAATATATTTTTAATTTAAGAAAAAGAAAACATCATGGCCTGGCTAGGCTATATATCTAGGCTCTAAAAGTCCCTGAATATTGCCAGCCACCAACTTTTACAATGAATCAAAATGCAGTAGATTGTTGAGTAGGCAAATGTGAGTTACTTAATTTACTTTCATTTATGAACATACTTGAACTTGTCTATATACATATTACGTTATGTCACTCACTAAGTAATTGAAGAAGGGAAGGATATCGGGATGGATGTGAAGGAAGTTGAGGTTCCACCTTAAAATCAATTGGCAATGTATGGAGTAGTCCAACTCTGCATTTACAAGATTTTATAACTTTTCAATGTGAGACATTTTCACCACATTCTCACATGATGGCGGGGTGTTTCATGAATGAAATTGTACGTCTTATAGTATTGTTCAAACTATTAGCTAGCTAGGAAGGAAATTAGGAATGAAATGATTACGTATCTAACTCACTATCGCATTAGTATATAAAAATGAGATGCATCTAACTCATATATACTGCATTATACATTACATATTAGATCATATTTCTTTTGATCACTCACACTCAGAGAACAATCAACAACGGCTATAGGAAGGAATCGGATAGGAGCACCAAGTGGTGTGCACACTCTGAAGTTGAAGATAGAAGGTAAAAACACCAACGGCATTGTGGCACGTGTCCAATTAATAAACAACCAAATGCATGGAAGCAGCAATTTCCGATGAAGGAAGGAAGAAAATAGTTGGTGTTTGTTATTATTAACTTGTGTTGTGTGGCGACAGGCGGAGGATGGAGAGAGAATGGAGAGATATGCATGGGTGCATCTCCAACGTCCAAACCTCATCCTTGAAGATTAGAAGCTCCCGTTTACTTGGCTTTCGCTATCACAATTCAAATGCAGAGATAGCTAGCTAGGCCCCTTGGGTGGATATATCATATTCATATAGAGGAGGAGGTGGTAGGTTGGTGAGGTGTATAAAGGCAGGAAGGTCCAGGGTTCGTTGCCCACCATGTCTTCAGCTTCGCTAGTTAAGAGCTTCAAACTCACCTCTTCTTCCTCCTCCTCACCCTTCTCTCCTGCTACCAGCAGGAAACCTAGTCCTTGCAGTGTTTCTGCCAGGCTCACTACTTCTCCTGCTTCTCGATCTCCTCCCCCTAACCTCATCCAAAACAAGCCTGTTGTCTCTGTTCCTGCTCTCACTCGGGTACTCTCTCTCTCTCTCAACTAGTACTAGAACTATATAAATATATTATGACAATGTGACTAGCTAACCCTAGCTAAGGTCTGCAGAGGTTTTTTTTGCTTTGTTTATCAAACTGACATTTTACAACAACTGTGATTTAATTGATTAACTGGTTTCGTGGCATTTTCCACTCTGGTCTTTGGTTCACGTGGATAAAGTAGTTAGAATGAGAATTAATTACTATATATATACGTGTCAAATTATTTATAAATGGAAGCTTCCAGCCTTGAACACGTTTGATTATATTTAATCCGTTTTGTTGTCACACAACTAATCCTCTACTTACCGGGACGACGTGGACGCTGCTCATTGATTCACCATCATCTCTTTATTGGTTCCTCATCACGGCTGTTTGATTTTCATCACTCAGAAGTGACACGTGTATGGTCAAAATCAAAAGGCAAAGAAAAAAAGGAAAAAAGAAAATGACACATGTATGGTACTAATTTTACCATCAAACACTTCCTCTCCAATTTTAAAATTGACTGGTGAAAGAAGGGTATAAATATTCAAGGGCCTACCATTCTCGCCACACGCACCAACTTAATCTAAAACTAGAACTGAAAACGGTGCCGTTGAGTCAATAAGTAAGAAAATATATCCCTAGCGGATATTCTTTGTAATCACTGGTTGTTATTGTTCACTGTATGTGATTATATATGGAAAGTGTAAATCTCTTGTTAACTGACAACATGTTATATTTCTCTGCGGATATTTTGTAGAAGGAAGAAATGGGAAAGGAATATGAAGAGGCCATTGCATCTCTCCAGAAACTTCTCAGGTACTTTCTTTCTGTTCAACTACTAGTTTGTGTTTGTGTTCACATTTGGGATGCATGGCATGGGAGGATTAAAAAAATCAGTAAAATGCTTGTTGGGTTAATTGTTCATGCAGTGAGAAGGCAGAGCTGAAAGCTGAAGCAGCATCCAAGGTGGAGCAGATAACAGCCCAATTGCAGACAGTCGATGGCAGCAGCACCAAGACTTATGATGCCGTCGAGAGACTCAAGAGCGGCTTCATTCACTTCAAGAAAGAGAAATATGAGTATGTACACTTGAATGAAGCTCATATCATTTATATTTAGTTTAGCCATGCATTTTGCTTCTTAATTAAATTAGTAAATTTGTGTTTTTCACTTCACAGCACCAACCCAGCTCTGTTCAATGAACTTGCCACAGGCCAATGGCCCAAGGTATAAATTTATATTCATATATCTGAATGATAATGAGTTTTTTTTTTTTGTGTGGCAGTTTGAATGAATGAATGTCGTTTGTTTTGCAGTTTATGTTGTTTGCATGCTCGGATTCCCGGGTTTGCCCATCACATGTTCTGGATATCCAGCCAGGGGAGGCTTTTGTGGTCCGCACAGTTGCTAATTTGGTCCCACCCTTCGATAAGGTTTTATTTCTTCCTTATCAGATTAATCACATTCACAATTCTAAATTTGTACAAATGAATCAATGACAGTTTCTAATTTTGGAAGCCTGGAATTGTTTCAACAACAGACTAGATACTCTGGGACTGGGGCGGCCGTTGAGTATGCTGTTTTGCATCTTAAGGTAATCACTTTCATTCATCTCCAGTTTTTTCTTCCTTTCTGGGTTAATTTAAACTAACTAACTTGATTTGTGTACAAAAAAAGGTTCAATACATTGTGGTGATTGGGCACAGCGCTTGTGGTGGGATTAAGGGACTCTTGTCCATCCCAGAAGATGGAAAAACCTCCACGTACGTAAGATTAATTAAGAACAAGGCCGCCTGCCTCTGTTAATCTTAATTATTATTTTGTATTTAACCTTGCGGCTTGATCACGATTCATGTCATGATGATGCAGTGACTTCATAGAAGACTGGGTGAGCATCGCCTCCCCTGCAGCGAAGAAGGTGAAGGCAGACCATGGCGCTGATGCTCCCTTCGCTGAATTATGCGCCCATTGTGAAAAGGTTCCCTGCTCTGCTCTGCTCTTCCTCCTCCTCTGTTTTTGCATTGCGTCATTGCAATTTGCATGCATGCATGCTTATTATTGAATTAATTTAACAAGAGGAAATGAATGAATGAATGCAGGAGGCGGTGAATGTGTCTATTGGGAATCTGCTGAGCTATCCATTTGTGAGAGATGGTTTGCTGAAGAAAACTCTGGCAATCAAGGGAGGCTACTACGACTTTGTCAAGGGAGGTTTTGAGTTGTGGGATGTTGACTTTAGCTTCTCTCCCTCTCTCTCCGTATGATCCCATCTTCATCTTCGAACCATCCTTTTTCTCTTCTTCTGCCCTAATAAGTATCCATCCCATTATGTTTCTTTCTTTCTTTCTTTCTTTCTTTCTGCAACTGCAAATGCAATGTAAAATCTAGTGTATTTCCCTTCCCTTTTTTCGTGTCTCTTGTTTGTATCTACTACATGGTTCGCAAATAAATATATAACGGAGAGCACGTTGGTTGTTGGCTTGGCTCCCTCCCTTCACCTTGTTTGTTTGACAAAATAAAAAGCACTTTTTCTGGTTTATTTTCGTTAGAGAATACTGCAATTTTTTTTTCTGGTTTGTTTGTTTAGGTAAAAGAGGTGGCCACCGTACTGCAGTGGAAGCTCTAGGGGCATCACCACCAATTCCATTCCATGGGTTAGAGAGAGAGAAAGAGAGAGCCTTAGAGATGATGATCGTTGCAAACATGCGGCTCCATCTCCTCATCATATGAATCTAATTACGCATATATGATGACGTGAATTGGGTTATGTAGACCAACAATTCAAGCCATCTTTCTTTTATCTAAAGTTTGGGTTGTTTTCTTAATTTCTTCTAAGCTTCTGCGTCGGTCGGTTATTGGAAATATTTTAGAAGAGCTGAAAGCCAACCACGAAACCACAAAAACCAAATCTTATTGCTCCCTCCCTGTCAGACAATTTCCATCTGTTCAAGCCAAACTAATCAAAGGCTTGAAATGAAGACAGCAAGGGCAATATAACCAACATATACTGTGATGGAAAACATTCACAGCTTTCATTCAAAGCCCTGTCTACTGACTAAATCAGAAAAACCACCCTCCACGAATCCACAATAGAACAGTTCTTTATCCGATCAATACGTGCGCCCTCAACTCCAATTCTTACAAATTTTGCACTTTCAATAATGGATGTATTGAATTCTTGGTTGAATCATACGGACAATGCATTCTCCGTCAATACAATCCCTGTTCTTGTCAAAGCATTATAAACACAATGTTGTGCAGATACACAAGAGTTGCTTAGAGTTCTTCTACATCATAAACATGAAACTGCCATATCAAGGATGATGATTAATTACAAAAGTTCACAGATATATGTACAACCGGACCCTTTTAAATAAAACCATCAATACCCAAAAACAAATGGTAATCTGTCCCATTTTTCTTGGTTAACCGAGAATTTCATTAGATCAGAGGCGATTCGTCCCATTTTACATACACAAATCAAAGCATTTGATTGGTCATGTCTCGTCGGCCTTTGGTTCAAGTACAACAGGGATCTTCTCCTTCTGATCACCACGCAACACCTCCACAGTCACCTGCGTTCAAATACTACATTATTATGTTGAACTACATATATAAGCTCAATATTAATAAATAAAGAAATAAATAACTACCCTATTCTTTTTAAGTCCCAAACAAGCTCAGATCTACATTAGTTTGGCCAACTGGAAGCCCATCTGAGACCAGAAATACTAGAAAACCTAGCACCAGATAAGTGGAGAAAAGTTTGCTTGTACTAGGGTGGGTCAAGACTTTTTACAGGCCACATATAATCTGGGAAATAATAAGGGACAAAGCGAAAGGATGAAAGACCATACCTTATCACCCACTTTACATTGGTCGAGAATTCTATACAAGTCGCTGCCATTGCTGACCTTTTTACCATTCACAGATGTTATAATGTCACCCAAGATGAGTCTGCCATAGGCATCACGCTTGGTTGGTAGCAGTCCCTGCAAATTGGAGGTTTATCAGCTCCAGTTGAATGGAAGCACAACTAACATCTTTTCACAATTCGGTTCTAGTTTAATCATATTATCTACCAAAAGGAAATTAATTTCTGTAGTACAATACTTATATTGGAAAAACAGAAAGGGGAAAGAGTACCGCTTTGCCAGCTGGACCATTTGCTGGTGCGTCTAAGACAAGCACTCCACTAACCCCCAACTGTTCAACAGATTGATCAGGTGCAAACTTAATTCCTAAAACAGGTCTAGTGACCTTCCCAAATCTGACCAACTGGTCAACAATACCATTTACCTGAATATGTAAAATATTCAAAAGAAAATCAGAAGAATTATCTCAAAGCATGACAAGAAGGAATGTTAACAGAAGGACCTTCACATGATGTCTACTCACAGTGTCAACTGGAATTGAAAATCCAACACCTGATGATGCACCAGAAGGTGAATATATAGCCGTATTTATCCCAATAAGGCTTCCTGTGCTATCTAGAAGTGGGCCCCCACTATTACCAGGATTAATGGCAGCATCAGTCTGTATAACATCTTGAATTGGACGGCCAGTAGCAGCAGAACTAATTTCTCTGCGAAGCCCACTAGATAACATGAAAAATGCATCAGTAAAATGCGTAGTTTCTCATTGACAGGAATCCACCAGCAGAATGCAAACCCTAATGAATAGAAAAGCAACACCATTGCAGTCCATTCAATGCTAGAAGTCATGCATGACTCATCAGTTAAAAGACCCAAACAAACATAGAATCAATAGACTACGTACCTGATAACACCAGTTGTAAGAGTATGGTCGAGCCCAAACTGCAAAGTTAAACACGAAATCAAATTGTCAGTTGAGATCGACCATACAGTTAGTAATACTGAAACCTTTCATAGACTTTTGTGAGAGAAGAACATCAACTCTGTTAATAGCTATAGAGCATCTCCTGTTTGATACTAGGTAACTATGTGCACAACCATGCTGTGGGAAAAGCCTTTCTTGAGTACTGATTTTAATTTCCATCTACTTGAACATATATTTTGGTAGAAAAGATGGGTAAAATTACTGCATTTAAGCTATTCTCTATGGACAATTGAATCGATACATTTTAAGTGAACTAAATGAGTATATCAAGTATCTTAGTAATTCACAGGTTGTCTATCTGCTTGGTATTTTAAAACCTCATGATATCCCCAATGTATTTGAAATAAAAAGATGAGAGTAATGCATCAAAACATGTAGGAAATAAAACTATACTTACAGGATTGCCAATAGCAAACACTTTCTGACCAACAAGCAAGTCTGCAGAGACACCAATAGGTATAGGCCTTAGTTTGTCTTTGGGTGCATCAACATGTAAAACAGCAACATCCTTGTCTTGGTCAAATCCAACAACTTTTGCATCAAAAGTTGACTGGTCAGCAAGTGTGACCCTGTAAATAACTAGCAGTGATTTAGATGCAAACCATGAGGAGAGGTTCCATTGTCACTTTTTCAATTAACACCACAAAAGAAAAAGAAAAGAAGACAATAGAGAATCTCTGTCAAACAATCTAATGACGTCAAACCAAAAAATTATCTCAATTTGCAAGCAAAAGATGTCTCACACATGACCAGAAAAAAAATTATACTCGGCCCTTAAGAAGAGTGATATGGGGAAGCCAATCAATTAATCAAATATACAGTTCCATAATATCCCCACCACAAACGTTGACAGGATTCTATCGATCCCTCTTCATTCTTATAAACACATCCTGTACTCTCCAGACTCCATAATTCTGGTGACATGATGCTTAGGTTGAAGAATAAATGGGCCATCACAGAGCCACATTTTACAACCCATAATGGCATCTAGCCTGTAGGCTATAAACTACAACGAACTTATCAAAATTGAAGGAGGTCCAAACGTATATAGAACTCGTATATCTGTTGTCCACGACATTGATGTTGAGGCAAAGCAGAACTACATTAAATCATCAGATTGTTCTGATACTACAACTTAATTAGAATTGCCGAACCAAAATTGGATGTAACAAAACAGTAAATACATTTCAACGAAGAAAGAATCAGAAACCAACTAACCTGAGATCAGAAGCACCACGAATCACGTGGTAATTGGTGACAATGTGACCGCCTTTATCCCATACAAAGCCTGACCCAGACCCCTGCGGTACCTCAAACACGTCCAAAGTAAACGCATCCTGCCTAAAACCAACAAACACCCACCACCACCGCTTCAAAATCACAATCCCAACCCAAAAGTAGAAACTAAACATAAATTAAAAGTAAGCACAACTGAGAATGGTCAAAGTTCAAAAATACCTGGCTGCAAGATTGGTGATGTAAACAACAGAGGGAGTGTTCTCCTGAAAGAGCTGAACGGTAGCGAGCTCATCGGACTGCAACTTTCTCGGCGGAGTGACCACGAAAGCCGAGGCCGGATCCACATCGGCGATGAAGAGGGACAGAGCTAGAGCTACCGAAGTGCAGAGAATGAGCAGAGAATCCAAGGCGGGCGAGAAGGGGTTCTTGGTGGTGAGCAGACGCTTGTGGAGGCATGGAGGACAGTAAGTCTTGTACGGGATCAAAGACCTTTTCTGGGTTTTATGGTGAAGAAGGGAGAGGATAGGTGAGCTTGTTGGGCTGGGGGATTTGTGGAGGGAAATGGATTTGGAGAGCGGAAAAGTAATGAGCTTTCTGTTTGGAAAGCGAGAAAACGAGGGAAGGGGAGAGAAAGTTGGGGAAGAGTGGAAGTTTGTGGGAATGAGTGAAGAAGCAGCCATCTGGGTTTTGGGGACAGCTGCCCTGGAAGGATTGCCTAGTTTGATTCACTTCTTATTAATATCCAAGCCTTCATATAACGAACGAACATTGTAGATTAGTGTAGATTGTACTCTAGTGGGAGAGTTGGGACTGTCATAGTTGAGTGTGAGAGAGTAACTGGATATATAGTACAAATAATTGGCAAAAGAGTTATTTTTGTTCACGCTTTAGTTCTCGTATTTCAATTTTATTTTTCTAGTTTCAAATCTAACACGTTACAAATCATGTCAAAATTATTCCAATTCCGTTATAAATTCTGTCAAATCTCATGCTCAAAACATAACGAAATTGAGAATAATATGACATAATTTGTATCCTTTCAGTGAATTGCTCGAATTTGAAACTACATAGATAAAATTGACAAAATTAAAACTACATAAACCAAAGATGTAAAACCATAGGTGATTGGGAGGTGACCTTTAGCCTAAATAATATATATAAATTATTTTTTCTTTTTTTTCTTTTCATATTTAACGGCTAAACTGCCGGCCCAGACAAGTAAAGGTTAAGCCCTTTTTGGTTTGCTAGCCAACGAGAATGAAAGAGACTGCGGCGAAAAAGCCCATAGGGTTTTCCGTTATGTCCAATGAGTCAAATTACAACTGTTTTTCAACATATCCAGGCAATTTCATGCTTACGAAGACACCAAACACTTACAGTTTGAGTGAGTATTTGTCCACACGCAAAGCTTTGTCAATATGGTAAAGATTTATTTGTCTTCAGCCATTCTATTAATATTCGAAAGTTCATATCCTTTTCCTAACAAACATTTTAAGTTTCACATCCTTATCGTAACAAACTACTAGGATGTTTCAGATTCAATTCAATCCATCCCGATCAATCACTCTAATTCATTTCGATGACTTCAATGGATGGATTATTGTAAAATTATAAAATATGAAACCCAGTTATGGGGTTAAAAGTAAATCCTACGAGTCCCCAAAAGAAGTCGGCATGCATACTCACAAGACCCATGAATCGAAAGAAGGAAAACCA